GCACCCCATGGACCGGCCGGTTTCAACCAAACGTTGAAGGACAAGTTCCGGGGGTGCAGGGAGGCGGCCTGCGGGGCTGTGAGCGGGTCACACGCAGCCCTGTCTCTGGCTTGGGCAGCAGCACACAGTTCGGAAATAAAATTGACTTGAGACTCATTAAGCCTCCGGATTCTCTTTCGTTTTCAGAATGAGCCTCAAAATAGATTATTTTATCTGTGCATCCTCGTTTATTTTTAGAGGATCCTCCTCACCGTGAGCCACAGCTATAAATACAAACCTTTTGTGCTGCAATACTGAAATTTCGAGATTGGAATGTGACTGGAGGCATCCTGGTTTCCTTCCATCTTTTTCGTGCCTTTTTGTGTGAACCAGCCATCCAGTACCATAAGTTTTCTGTGCCTCACATAAACTGTTTCTGTTACAAAATAGATTTGATCTTTCTCTTTTTAATGAGCAGGATGACATTATAAACGTGGTTCTGTACGAGCTGCTTCTATCGCCATCTATTTTCACCGTGCAGGCAGCCAAACACTGGTGGGTTGCTCAGAGAGGTTGTGCAATCTCCATCCTTGGTTTTCAAGATTCGACTCAGCACAGCCCCGAGGAACCTGGTCTGACCCAGCTTTGAGCAGAAAGTTTGGCTAGAGCCCTCCTGTGGTTCCTTCTCACCTGGATCATCCTACAAAGCCTGTGCTCTTCAAATTCCCTTGGGCATGATTGTGAGTTGGGGGAATGGCTGCCCCTGGGCAGATGAGCCATTCCTTTTTGGCCTTAACTTCTGTTCTCTTGAGCCTCTTACTATAAACTTCCTCAGCAAATACTGTAACAAAGGGAAGAGTCGGGGTCAGTGTCACCAGCATGTTCCCAGGCTCAGCAACCTGACTAGAGGTCTCAACAGAGGTTTTTTCCCAGCTGGCTGAATTTCAAGACCTGGGCTCTATCTTACATAATGGGAAAGATATTGCTCTTTAAAACAGCCCCCCCAACACACACAGTGATAGAAGCAATAGTGTTTAAACCTGTGCTGTTCAAATGATGTTGCCTCAGGGCAAAAAAATACAAACTCAATTGTATTTGAAGATGCTTCTCATCCAGTCAAGATCTGCTTTTCTCAAACCCAAGATCTACTACTGAAACCATAACAGAGCTACCCTCTCCCCAGAGGTCTTTTACATACCATTGACACATATCCCAAAGAGGCTGTTTTCCTCTGCCTTTAGTACAAAAGCAACACTAGGCTGCACTGGGATCCCCATCTCCTTTTAGTCTAATTCTTAAGTCTGGATCCTAATGAAAAATACAGACTCAGCACAGCACTTGAGCACATACTGAAGTTTGAGCACCCCGAGCATCCCGTTGCAAAACACGCCGTGATTTGGGGAGGGCTGTGCCCCCAACTGTTTGTGGATTCTGTCAGCATCAGCAAAATAAACGGCTTGTTCTACATGGCTTTTTTTTGTGACTCAAGTGTGCCCAAGAAAACGGAACTGCAGAAGCTGTCCACTTCCCCTTGCCCAGTTTATTTTTACCACTGGTTGCTGTGGGAAGCTATTGTGATTCAGTGTTGCAGTAGGAAGTTACTAACGTGGCTCTTGCAGCAGAGGATATTGAGGTTCTTATGCAAGCCCCAGTGAAAATAGCTGACCTTTCAGTATGGTTATCAAAGCACCTTCAGTTCACCAGGGGAACAGCAGCGGGTTGTGTAAACGGACTCACATCTGGGTCTAAAGCTCTGGGTGCACTGAAAACAATGCCCAGAAATGTGACGGGGACTCCTCGGCTCCTGCGGGGCGGTGCGGGGGAGGCAGGTGCCACCGCCAGCGTGCGGTGCTGCCAACCCGGCACAGGAACGTTTCACCCCCATTTTGCCGTCACATCAGCAACCGCATGAGTTTCGGGACAGGCTCCAGGCACATCACCTGCAGAAAGACCAGATTTTGCTCTGACGAGGGCGAAAGCAAAATAATGTCACTTAGCCCCGGCGTCCTCTGTCTGCCCAGCCAGGAGACGAGGAACGTTGGGAAAGGAGCAATAGAGTTTCTTCTCGCTTCTCCCATCTCCCGGCTCTCAGCAGCAGGGTGAGCTCCCCCCGCCAGGCAGCAGGCAGTGCCAGGCAGCAGGCAGTGCCGGTGCCAGCCCGTCCGCCTGCTGCCCTCTGCAGTCAGTCCATCCAAAGTGCACCACGGCCAACACCAGACCCAGCGCTCGTCCTGCAGCTCCAGGCTCCCTTTCCCAGGACCTGCATCCACCCCGCGGCAACCAGGGCTGCTGTCCAGGGGCATTTCTTCCCTGAAAAAAAAGAGATTCTGTTCTGCAGAGAGCCCTGAGCATCCCTCTACAATCCCTTCCCAAGGAGAAGGCACCTTGCACCCACGAGGTTTCCCAAAATATGGCAGGTCAGAAGCTGTGCCTCAGCACCTCCTTCAGCACAGTGGGGCTGGAAGGGGCTCAAGGGTCTCAGGGGTGTTTGTCTCACCATGTATGTGGCCTTGCTGATAACTGAAAGACCAGTCCATGTCCAGAAACAAACAGCTTTTGTCTCAACTCCAAAGAGTCCCAAGTGCTTGCAACATGGATGGCACAAAGCAATAACTGCTCTAGAGGTGGATTGCCATCATCTCCTCACCATACCACCACCACTTGGGTTGCTAATATATGGGGCTATCTGCATCACTCTGGTTGTTGTCCTGCTGTGGATTCTCTCTTCCATCAGCCTTTCTATTCGATGCCCAGCGTGGTGACCAACAACTTCCCCATGCCCACGGCCACACTTTGCTGACTTGGCTTCAGATTGCCTTTGTCCTCATCCATCCCAGTCTCCTGCGATGCCAATGCAGTCACTACCTCAGATTCCTCATTTCCATCACTGCCACCTC